TCTTCGCTTGTTTCGGACATTTTGACAAGAAGTGTATCAAAGTTGTTAGTCTTCTGAACTAACAAGATAATTCCTTTTTTTTTTTTCTTCTTCAATTTATCTGAACTAACAAAATAAATCTTTTTTACTCAATCTATTTGTCTCAAAAAGTTGTCATCTTTCGAGTCTATTACATTAAATATTACAATCCAATTTAAAAAAGCTAATTGTTATTAATGTTTGTTATATCAGAATATATAATAAGCGCGAATATCTTTTTTGAACTGTGAAGTATAAATTTACACAACTATAATCATCGGAGATACTTTAAGTATTGCGTACTTCAGATAGTCAAATAAAGATGATAAAATATTAGTTTTCATTTTATAGGAGTATATTATATGTAAATTTAATTAAATAGAGTTTATTAAATATTCTGTAAGTGTATCGTTGAAATTTGTCAATAAAAACTAAAGTTTTTAGAAATTGATTTTCTTATTAATATTCACAGACAAAAAAACGAAAATACTAAAATGTGGTGGATATTTGAATTCATATATCGATTATTTTTCCCTAATAAAAATATTAAATTAGAAACCGAAGAAAAATCTGCACAAATTGCAAAACTTTGTTCAGAAGTTCAAGAACAGACTTCACTAATCGAAAAACTTGAACGTGATATTCGAAAATATCAAGAATCGTTTTATAATTTACACAAAGATTATGAAAACTGCAACAAATCATTGCAAGACGAAAAGGAAGAAAATTTAAAATTACAAAATTTGATACCTACACTAGAGCAACGGATCATACATCTTGAAAAAGAAATTTTAACTTATTATAAACAAAACGTAAATTTAAAGGAAGAGGCATCTAAATATCAATTGGCGCTGGGAAACGCAACAAATTTTAGATTCAGTGATGACGATCCGAATAATACCGTTCATCTTAAGAATGATATTGAAAATTTGCAATTAATGATTGAAGATTATGTGACTAATTTAAAAAATGGTGTAAATATAAATTTTGAAAATATCAAAGAACTTTTACAGCGTTATACTTCTAGATCACAAACATCAAACAGATGCTTAATCAAAGCTGTCTTACAATGTCATGTCTTAAAACAAATTCTATCATTCGCTGAAGAAAGCACATCTGATCTTGAATCAAGTATTATTAGTAAAACTGACGACCTGATTGAGCAAATTGAGAGTTTCTCTGAAAAACGTGTCGGTTCAGATGTTTTCACTCGAGTAGCACCTATAAAATTACGTCAGCAGGTTTACGTTATACTAGGTTATCGTGGATATGCCAATGAATGTGAGCATAAACGACATCCATCTTTATCGATATTTCACCAAGAACTCAATAAAACAATGAGTAAATATCGCTTAATTACCGATCCTAATAAGAAAATCAGCGTAGAAGAAAAAGCTGGAAAATTGATTCAAGAAGTATTTAGGATATTCAAATTTCGTTTCAAGGTTCAGGAACCAGTTATTGAAATGTTATGGATTGATCCTGGTACAGAGATAAAGAAAGAGTATATGGAAATGGATTATGATGATAAGAATTATAATGATGCCTTGGTCGATATCTGTTTTTTCCCCTTGATTGGAAAGGATTTAAATAATGTTAAACGCAAAGTAATTACTCGTGCCAAAGTCTTTCCATTTATCCAAGGTTGATAATTTAATCGCTATTCTTTTTCCGTTAATTATCATAAACATTATCAAATTTCATTATTTGTATTTAAATACTTATGTTAAGTCTATCTGCTATATATTTTCAAACATACTATATTAAACACACAGTCTAACAACTTTTTGATAGTGAATAATCCTTTATGTATTACAGTATTACCAAGACAGATTGTCTTTAGAAGAATCTCTAGCATTAATTGATTTACAATATAATAAAAAATTTTTCTGCCCCCTCAATTAAATATTGCAGGTGGATACCGAATATCTGTGGATTCGGAATCAAAAGTTGATTTCGGATTCTAAAAAAAAAACAAGTGATTAATTACGAATAACTTCAAAACAATTGCAAATTTTACATTAGAAACTCAAAATGTCAACCCAAGAAGAATCGCATTTTTCAAAACAAGTTTTTAACGATCTAGTTAATAGATAAATTGAAGAAAATCTTTAAATTACACAAACCGTAATAATCTCAGTACTTAATGAACCCAGTATTACAAGCTTAGGTACTCCAAGAGATCGATATTGGATCAAAAAACTTCGCGAATTGTGAACCGAAACCAATCCAATTAATCAATTATTACGGTCACAAAAAATGATGAAATAGAGTATTTCATAATTAGCATATCGATATAAAACCATCCCATATAATAGCTATTCAATAATTAATGCTTTATTTTAATAGCCTAAGTTCATATCAAAAACCAGCAGATAGAAAGTTAAAAAAAGAATTTGCTATGTGAGGTGAAGCAGTAGGTGAAGGAGTAAAAAAATGAGCAAACTATTAGCAAACGCCATCCATTGGATGAAAAAAAAAGAGATTTATATGTAATATTTAAAATTGGCCCATAAAATTTACTACAGTAAAACGCCTTATGGCGTCCCGAGAATATTTCTGTGGGTTAAGAAGAAAAAAAAAGTAAAATCAGACACTATTTCGAAAAAATAAGCGATGTATTTGTTTTATAATAAATTCTATTTATATTATAAGCTTTTTTATGTTCAACGACGCTTTTACAATTATTATTTTTTTTAACATCAAAAAGTTTATATGGGGCTTTTGCTATCAAAATGACCCTCCGAGCCATTGTTACACAGGAATTTTATTAAGAAAATCTATTTTTAGCACAAAAAAATCATAAAAGACCCCATATATTTCAAATTTAAACACTGCTATTCATTTTCCGATTTCAAAATTTTAAAATTCAAATAAGA